CTGGAACAGCGACAAATGGCCAGGCAAGGAACCAAGGAACCAATCATCCAGTGAACCAAGGAACGAACCAACGAACCATGGAGTTAAGGAGCCAAGAAACTGGAACAGCGACAAATGGCCAGGGACCAGGAACCTGAACCAAAMCTTGATTTGTTGAGCATATCAGGTACACTTGATTTTCAGCATATTGGTGCAGTCTTTCTTACCACTTATCGCCATCGATGGCTACAAAATCTGTGTTAGGAACTCTGTGTAAATAGCAATGCTTATCATTCATATTTTTTCTTGGAATAGGATGCAAGGTTGAAAATTGAGACAACAATAGGCCATCAGATAGCACGGAAACATCATTGTTTCAAATTGTTATAATGTAAGTTAACCTGTTTATTTTACAGAGTACAAAAAATGAGATCTTTGTTGCGATTTTTTTGCTGATTTTGAATAATGTAATATATTTTGTCTTATCCCTGTGAAGACACGTTTAGTTAGCTGATCTCAGTTCCCCTGTTAGTATAAAATCGCCGCAAAAATCGCAAGTCGTAAACGGGTATTTACATCAAAGCACCAAAGTTTGGTTTGATAAATAACTTGCAAGCGACTTCAGATACTTCGATCACATACGTTTAAACAAAGGAACCAAAATATAAATGCTTACCTCATGTAAATAAATCATCTAGCACGCCGACCACTTGAGAGCAATCTATAAWTGTACAGTTGCTTTAACATTTTGAATGGCTATAYTGTCGCTGTATTTGGCTGTCATCCAGATTTGTATCATCTGAAAGCCTTCTCCAAAGGCTCCCACCTACCAAAAATGACGAGAAATATGATGGAAAAACTCAAAATGTCACTTGATGATTGTTWCTTCAATTAAAAAGATCGTAATTCATTCAAATTATCATCATAATAAACCACATCTACACGGGATTCGAATTGGGCGGTAAAATAGACTTGATCATGCGCATTAGAACTCTTACACAGGTTTCCCACCGTGGTCATGACCTCAAGGTCACGTTCATGCGAAATTTAATACCCATACAATGAATAATGTAGAAATATTGTAATTTGTTACACAAAACATTTGATATATTGCTTGAAAAGCTCCAAAATAGTCGTGTTTCTCATGATAAACATTTAGCTTTGTTACGCTGTTTTGACTGAAGAAATTACTATGTTAATCATTAACAACCGATTTTAACAACCCCCTTCCAACTCTTTGTTCCTTTTAGGGGATATGGTTTTCCCGTTTTAGCATCATTTAGGGATAGACCGACAGACAGAAGATTTTATTTGGTACCACTTAGGACAATTGCATCGTTCAATTAGTTCTATAACTAATTTGTCTTTATTTTCTAATCTTTTTGAAAAACAGTTAAAAATATACTTTTGCGCTTTTTACTTCAAGACACTTTATACAATAATTCACATGTTTCAACAAATTTGAAATCAGCCATTAAAATTCTTAAAATTCAAGCAGAATGAAAAGAAAAGGGAAAATAAGGTGAAACTGACTCCTACAGTGATAGGGGCGTCATTATTGATTAGTCTTTTCACAGCATGAAGATATGTCATTATTTACCAGACCCAGTAAATTCATTTCCCTTTCATAGAAGATGAAAATTCATCTAAAATTTCCTTTATTCACTAGTCTCTCTACGGCTTTTTAATCTAAAAATTGCTTACAAACTTTTGTAACTGAAACTGATGCTGTACTTATTGGCCATTTTTACGTTGCGCAGGGGACTGGGCACTAATCAAAGAAATATTGATCTATTCACGAAACAAACCCCACCAGTTGAAAGGACACCCAAAAATTAGTATATATACCAAGTTTCAAAACGTTTGGATAAAAACTAGCTGAACAGTATTTATTTCTAGTTTCATCAAATTAACAGAGAATATTGTTTTGGGGGACGCGGTCAAAATCGCCATACATTCTCTGTAAATTGCACGGCTTCTCATTAATTGAATATTTGTCCAAATGATCTGTAACTTGGAACCTACACTAAAGTCGATAAAGTCTTTTTAGCGATATGGTTAGTTTTTCGATTGGCTCAATATAACAGAAATTACAATTCATTTTATAACATAAAAATGGCTAATAAAAAAAAATCCATAAGAATCTGTTTGCATTAACAAGATAAAGAAGGATATGGAGAATGTCGTATTTTTCTCGATTTTGATTTAGATTGATTTGAATATTTATTGCTTTCAAAACATTATCAGTTAAAGTGTCTGTATGACTAACAATCTCAAAGACGGTGAAATGATTTATGTGTTCAAAGAGACATGATCAAAACGTGACATTTCTGAGCGCGATAACTCGTTCTAGAACATTTTCACAAAATCAATCACGCTAATCTTAGAGCCCATCAATCTTTATTAAATCGTCCATCAATCGTTTTAATAGTAGCTTTAAATCACATCATCGTTAAGTCATGATAAACAACAATTTTATTAGAGCGTCCAGAAAAATCAAGATGGAGGTGTACCGCAGTGCAGTATGGGAAACTAGCAAAAATAAACGGTGTGATTACAAAATCCATATGCGCTTTTGATGGAGCTCAAATATCAAAGAATAAAAAAACATATCCAACGAATGAACGTAAGACGGCAAAAAAAACATCTCTTTTTTATGATGGAACCTTATATGCCTCGTGCAGCTAGGTTTGCCGGTGTTTATGCTCCATTATTTAACATACTCCACATTTAGTTTATTCATGTCACCCTTCGTTCACATTTTTCCATTTCAACAACCTTTCATTATTCCCACAGTAGAGGTCGTTTCTTATTTCTCAATGATCGTTCGATTGTCATTTGCATTTTATGATGTTATATAAGGATGTTATTTCTTTTCCTTTTTTTTAATATTTATGTTTCGCAGTATAATTAATACTGTTACTATCGAAAGCTATTGTACCTCCTAAAAAATCCGCACGAATTTAAGGCGATCAAGCGTTCTAGAATGCTAAAATTCCCTT